TGTGTGTGTGTGTGTGTGTGTGTGTGTGTGTGTGTGTGTGTGTGTGTTTGTCATAATGCACAGCTGCAATAAGCGTCTAGGTTACACACTCATTATTATTCACAGAGTTCATGTTGAGTGAAATTGTCAGACTGTGGCAGCATGTTTTCCCAGGAGCATACATTCTCTTAAGTGCATTGTTTTTAAACAAGCGTGCACGCGAGGGGAACATTCTACTGTTTACCCACATACAGTTGTGTGAAAAAGCGTTTGCCCCCTTCCTGATTTCTTATTTTTCGCATGTTTGTCACACTTAAATGTTTCAGATCATCAAACAAATTTAAATATTAGACAAAGATAACACAAGTAAACACAAAATGCAGTTTTTAAATGAAGGTTTTTATTATTAAGGGGGAAAGAAAATCCAAACCTACATGGCCCTGTGTGAAAAAGTGATTGCCCCCTAAACCTAATAACTGGTTGGGCCACCCTTAGCAGCAACAACTGCAATCAAGCGTTTGCGATAACTGGCAATGAGTCTTTTACAGAGCTGTAGAGGAATTTTGGCCCACTCATCTTTGCAGAATTGTTGTAATTCAGTCACATTGGAGGGTTTTCGAGCATGAACCGGCTTTTTAAGGTCATGCCACAGCATCTCAATCGGATTCAGGTCGGGCCACTTTGACTAGGCCACTCCAAAGTCTTCATTTTGTTTTTCTTAAGCCATTCAGAGGTGGACTTGCTGGTATGTTTTGGATCATTGTCCTGCTGCAGAACCCAAGTGCGCTTCAGCTTGAGGTCACGAACAGATGGCCGGACATTCTCCTTCAGGATTTTTTGGTAGACAGCAGAATTCATGGTTCCATTTACCACAGCAAGTCTTCCAGGTCCTGAAGCAGCAAAACAGCCCCAGACCATAACACTACCACCACCATATTTTACTGTTGGTATGATGTTCCTTTTCTGAAATGCCGTGTTACTTTTACGCCAGATGTAATGGGACATTCACCTTCCAAAAAGTTCAACTTTTGTCTCGTCAGTCCACAGAGTATTTTCCCAAAAGTCTTGGGGATCATCAAGATGTTTTCTGGCAAAACTGAGACGAGCCTTTATGTTCTTTTTGCTCAGCAGTGGTTTTCGTCTTGGAACTCTGCCATGCAGGCCATTTTTGCCCAGTCTCTTTCTTATGGTGGAGTCATGAACACTGACCTTAATTGAGGCAAGTGAGGCCTGCAGTTCTTTGGATGTTGTTCTGGGGTCTTTTGTGACCTCTTGGATGAGTCGTCGCTGCGCTCTTGGGGTAATTTTGGTCGGCCGGCCACTCCTGGGAAGGTTCACCACTGTTCCATGTTTTCTCCATTTGTGGATAATGGCTCTCACTGTGGTTCGCTGGAGTCCCAAAGCTTTAGAAATGGCTTTGTAACCTTTTCCAGACTGATAGATCTCAATTACTTTGTTTCTCATTTGTTCCTGAATTTCTTTGGATCACAGCATGATGTCTAGCTTTTGAGGACCTTTTGGTCTACCTCACTTTGTCAGGCAGGTCCTATTTAAGTGATTTCTTGATTGAGAACAGGTGTGGCAGTAATCAGGCCTGGGTGTGGCTAGAGAAATTGAACTCAGCTTTCCAAAGATGTGATAAACCACAGTTAATTTATGTTTTAACAGGGGGGGGGGCAATCACTTTTTCACACAGGGCCATGTAGGTTTGGATTTTTTTTCCCCTTAATAATAAAAACCTTCATTTAAAAACTGCATTTTGTGTTTACTTGTGTTATCTTTGTCTAATATTTGAATTTGTTTGATGATCTGAAACATTTAAGTGTGACAAACATGCAAAAAAATAAGAAGTCAGGAAGGGGGCAAACACTTTTTCACACAACTGTAAGTCTGGCTGCTATCGCATCCATTTTACACGTAATATCTCAATGTCACGTAATCGCATTCACAAAGATTATAAATGAAATGCATGTCTTTGCTTCAGCCTGTGGCCAACTTGTTTTGGCACATGACGCTGTACAACTTTGCCAGGATTCCTCACATTAGTTCTCCCGCCGTACCTGACTGGGATTGAAACCAGAATTAATATTCTTTATTCGAAACTATAAAGTCGACATTAGAAAGGAGAGCGACATGCCACTTTTCGTTTGTGTGAACGTATCCATCACCGCTCGGTGTCTGATGACAAAAAGACACGGGGATGGAGAGACAGCCGTCTTATGTTTGGTGACAGGTAATAACACTGCAACACCACAAGAGTAATCACCAGATATACATTTCCATTCACCATTAAAGGATTCCATTAAAAGAGCTGGGGGGGTGGACATTTGAAAAAGAGGGAATTATTTGCCTGAAACGCTTTGTTCTCATAAGCTCTGTCGGCAAGCCACTAAATACGGTCTTATCTCGGCAAAGAAAAATGGGGAAAGCAAGCGATTTCCCCTGCCGTGGTATATTGCATTCTTCCCCCATGATATTCAAATAACTCTGTTTTTCAATTTAGATAAAAGCAGCCAGTCCGTGCTCGTCACTGAGGTTAATAGTCAAAGTTGACAGATAAGCCGCTGCCTTCCTCTGCTCCCAGACTTTTATTTACATAAAATAAGAATGTGGCATCACCTAAAGAAAATGTGTCCCCACCAGATATCCCTCTGGGGAAAAAAATGCACTTTCCCTTGTGCTACTTTGTGTTGCATCGTTTCAGGAAATAAAAAAAAAAGAAAGAAAAAAATATGCTCTGCTGAGCAAAAATCCCTTCTTTTTAAGACTGGCAATTTAACTTGTCTGTCATAACCTTTGCTGACAGGCCAGCTTAAACGTCCTTGGTGTTTAAAGCAGGGTTTAATGGTAGAGTATCACCAAAGTGAGAAAAGGTTTCCTGTGGTTGTCTGTCTCTGCAAATTGTCTTTCAGTCTCCTGATGCTTTCATCAATGCTTCTGCCGTCATGTTGTCAGCCAAGTCTTTTTATTTTCATTGATGTCCGGTTTTAAATTCTTTTGTATGTTTTTTGATTGGAGACCGCTTTGTTTCCTGTCTTGCTTTACTTGAAAGAGTCAAGGAAAATGGAAAAAAGGACAAAATTCCATTTAAATGACGTTTTCTCTATTGCTTGGCATCCCCTATAACTCAATATGAGGCCTTTGCATCTCTACATGTAAAGAACCTGCCACCAGAGAGCATCCTCCGTTTCTGAAAAGTGAGGGCAGTGCGGAAGTGCATTAAACTTACATTCATTCTAATGGCCAGCAGGAGTCCGATTGTATAGAAGTCTATGAGAAAATGACCCGAGTTCTCTCCATTTATTACCTCAGAAAACACTGTAAACATGTGTTCATGGTCTCAATCTCTAGTGTCAAGTCTTCTTCAATACAGCATGATGTTCATTTAGTAAATGATGGTCCATTTAGAGTCAAATAGATCATAATGCAGGGTATGCGGGGCTACCTTGTTATTGACTGGTCTCTACCACAGCCGGTCTGGAAGTTCTTTGTATTTTAAACTTTAACCCTTTCATGGTGTGATTTCAGTTCATGAAAGTTAATTGCAATGTTTTGGTCGCCTAAAATGTCTTATTCCGCATTTGGTTGTACTCCACCCTCTTGTGTCACTCCTGGGTCGGCCAAAAAACAAAATGACAACAGCCAGAAAGCCAACCTCCAGGCTTCAAAACAGCAGTCCACAAGCCAGTGGGTGTCCACTTCTTTTATACAGTCTGTACTTGCCACAAACAAATACGCACACACACATGCCCGTGCGTCCACACCCACGAGCACACATGGCCGCTGCCCCGTGGGACGGTCTGGATTACAATGTTTAGCATGTTATCTGCAGCTTGGTATCATTCAGCAGTAGAAGCATTAGCACTCCTGCTAATCTCAGTCATTCAAATAGCCGGATACAGCTCACAGCTGCAGCTGCTCTTAAGTGAATGATAAGCAGGCAGCCGATTGAGTGATAAAAGTGATACGCTGAACCTGCTCCCAAATTTGTGGAGGTGGGAAAAAAGGAAGGGAGGGGCTGCGTGCGACAGTGAATTGCATAATTGAGCAGGTTTAAGCTGCCGGTTAGCTCTGGATCCGTGCCGTACGGCGCCTCGTATAGCTGATAACTCCACAGATCACAAGAGAAAGCAAACCAAACTGTCCCTTGAAATGTGAATCCAGCCGCTCCACCCTCCTGTCTCATCCTGTGTACCTTAAATCCATCATGGTCCCTCCCTCATCTTTCCTCACCAGTTCTCTTCCCTCTTCCATCAAAGGCACAACTTAGACGCCGACACGCAGGACTGTAATAAGTTGTAATCTGAAGGACATCTACCTCACGCCTCCGAGCCAGAGATGCAGCACAGACAGGAGCTACGCCGACTGAGATGTGCACCACATTTGCAATTAAGATCCCTGGGAGCCTTTTTTCAAGATTATTTAAATGTATAATTACTGACAGATTAATTACATTTTGCACATCAGTTCTGATTAGATGTGATGGAAACTTTGGGTTTAATCAAGCCTGCATCACCTAAGGAGTTCGGTTTCAATTTGATGTCTGGATTCAAATTAGTCGAGACGTAAATTAAGAAGCATATTCACACGACGATCGTCACAGTTTCCATCATCTTCTCATGAAACGCAACAGAAAAGGGGTAAAAAAAAGACAGTTCTCTTGTGAGCTGTGTGAAATGTACACATATGAAATAACCAGAGGCTTCCAGCTGAGTATATAAATATTCAACTGGAATCTCAAAGGGTGAACAATGTAAATATATTCAGCTGTAATGAGGCGCGTGTGTTTTGTTCAAAGCCGCGGTACCTTGTGGGACACAGTTTTTCTTTTAATGGTTTGTCTGATGAAAGAAGTGATGCTTTGTAACTGATATAAAAAGAAGTGTTGTTGTTTGCTGAGTTCAAATGCAGCTTCTGTGATCCACAAGGAGTCAAGTGGAAGTTAAAGTGAAAGTGTCTGGCTTTATCGACTTCCATTTCATTTCTCTATATCCCCGTGTTTGTGTGAGTGTGCTGGTCCCTCTCCCTCTCAATATCTATATTAAACACCCTCTCCTCTCCCTTATCTCCTCCCTCCAGTGGACGAGGACACCGAGGGAAGCTCCAGATCAGGTCACGAGTCGATGTCCACCAGCGGCGACCTCACTGCGCGACCCGGGCTGAACGGCAACCCCTCCAAAGATGACAGGCAGGGGGATCGGGACAAGGTCGCGGGGAAGGAGAAGAAGAAACCCGAAAGGGACAAAGAGAGGGAGAAGGACAAGAGCAAAGCCAAGAAAGGCGTGCTGAAGGGCCTGGGCGAGATGTTCAGGTAGGAACGAGTCGGAGCTCAAAATGCGAAAACCCATCCCCTGCGTCGCCCCGAGCGCTAAGCGCTATCTGCTTTATTTAATTCCACTCAACGCGCTCACCACTGGATCACTCAGAATTTGAATGCATTCTCTGGATGTTGCAAGTGCTAATCAGGGACCCCTCTCCTTGAACCCTGTGAGGTGGAGGGAAGGAGACGGAGGGGAGGGGGAGTTATCGACCTCGAGGGCCTCTGGCACTTTTGAGCCAGATTATTTTTAATAAGGGCAACATGTTTTATTCATAATCCCGTGTGTGCGCTCCTGTTATCCAAACACGCCGCGCAATTTTGTTAACCAGCAGACAATGTTCAGGGCCCGTACGGGTGCTAATGTGGGAGCTGTGGTTTGTTTCAGGAGATAAAAGACCTTTGAAGAGGATAAAATAGACTGCAGGTTGGATTTGTTGCCCCTGGCTGGTATTCTCAGTGGCTGTCTCATCATGCGTTTGCAAGATTTTAGAGGCAGACTACCTCGGGAGACCACGACAGGGGGCATGATTCTACTCTCAACATCCTTCAGATATTTATCAGTTAAAAAAAAAAAAAGATTTAATGCCGATGATTGCCAGCTGTCGGTCTTCAGCGTTGTGTTGTCATGTCTCATACGCCAGGAAGTTGGAGGCAAATGTGAACCGGTTATACCGCTGCTGACACATTTCGTGGTTGTATGTTTGTCTCCCAGCTTGGAAAACACTTCCTCTGTCTTTGAGGACTGAAACACAAAAACAACTTCTTTACCCGGTGTATCGTGACTTTGGACCATCCTTAGACAATACAATGAGACATGTGCATAGAGACTGTGGATGAAAATAAACATCCCGCGGGTATCCATCCAGTGTCTCTGCCACGAGGAAATCAGTGGGGGAGTCGCATTAATTATTTCAATTCCGTGCACATTTGGATATAGCATAAATTAACGGTGGAGGCGGTGCCGTTATCGTGCCGTGAGTTGTTTTCATGTGGATTAGTTTAATGGGATTAGTTAGCGTATCGCGGCGCGCGGCTCGGTAATGAACAATAAAGACGACAAGTGTGTTTCGAGGTCACGACTGAGGAATGCGGGGAACTTATCTTCCCTTCTATTATCTTTCGTTCTTGTGAGTTTTTTTTTTTTTTTTTTTTTTTTTGCATCCTGTGGTGTAAAATGCACAATGGCAACATACAGGCTCGCATTCCGTCGCACACGTATGTGGAGACGCACACATGTTCACAGGAGTGCACACAGAGGGTAGGTGTGCAGGGTCGGTAAAGGAAAGTGGAACTTTGAGCCACAGGTTTGACACTCTGTGACATGCAATCAGCGCCGTTGGCAAACCCTTTTTTTCGAGTGTGTGCTCGGCCCGATAGGTGGCTGCCGGGTGATTTTAACTGTGCATGTGGGGCCCTCGGCGTGCCCTCCTTGGCCTCATCATCGTTCTTCATTATCTTTGAGTGCCACGGCCACTTAAGAGTTGGCACGCACTGGGCCTCGCTGACAC